GTTGTAGGGTTCCCAAACCCTGCCGTAAATGGGGCTTTTAGCAAAATCATTTTCCAAATGGCGAGCTAGACGATTTTGGCAAGCAGCGGATAATTTTTAATGTAGACATTTTCAGGCTGTGTATGACTACGAATAAGCTATTGTTTTAGAAGCAGTCAAAAATGAATTCATAAATATCTTGAACCAGTTTTAACCAAACCTAGCCTGGTATAAAAAGAACATTAGATATCCACAAGTAAATAATCCACATCTAAATGTTTGAAGTTACGCGAAGAATACTATTTTTGGTCTCTAATCTAATCCCGTATTTACGTCGCAATACCCGGAAGAGTCTTTACAGCAATTAATATTCTTATTGACAGATTCAACCATGAATGGTAAAGTGCTGCTTCAAAACCGCGTGCTGAAGCTCATTCTATATGACCTATGAACAGATTAATTCAGAAGACCTGACGAAGAAGGAGCAGACGTACTGTAGATTGAACCTTCGATTAAGATGCCGTTGGTTATTTATAAGACACCTGCTGACGTAGGTGCCTCATACAAAAAATATTCTACTTCGGTTCCGATGAAGTTATTATGGTTTGCATAGGCGAGTTAGATCATTGTATAGCAATGGAAACGTTTCGTTGATGGAGAAAAAAATTTACCTAAAAAAATTTCGACCTCATATTCGAGTTGTCAAAAACAGAGGGCGGGATATTTACTCCAATAGTCGTCAATTTCCTCGAAGAGAAACTCACTAAGTATCAAACTTAAGTTCGCAAACTTATATGAAACACACAAAAGATTAGCATACATCCAATGACCCCAAAAAGTTGCATGTCTTGCGACAACTCCTTGATCTCTGCAAAGACGGTGTAAGATAGGGAAACTAATAGGAACGCCGAACTGTTTCTATTTATAAACAGCCGCACATAACAGAACAATGTCAAAATAGACCTATATGTATATATATCAAAACAACAGTATATATATAGTATTATTAATTAGTGCTATTTAATATAAGCAAAACATGCCGGTGTTCCTGAGTGCACGCGCGCTATTATTTGTTCTTGCAATATTGCACTGCAAATGAAACATGTCTCTAGATAGACACAAGTACGAATCGTTCAGCGGCAGTTACTATGTTTGAGCAAATTTCCAATTACTGACACCCGTATAAGTTTTGCCTAAAAAAACCACTTGATCTTCCGTTAGATCGAAACTAATGATTTGTTATTGTTTTAATCTTACGTAGGAGAAATTAAGCTAAGAAACGGAAAAATTCGAAGTTCACTTATTCGGCGCTCTTTCGTAGATCTCCTTCAGGATAACGTCCGGCTGTTGCAGGATAGTCCAGCATTAATGATACAAGCCTCCTTTACTCCTGCAAAGAAGCAATGGGTTTTTGTTTAGCAGAATTTGTCCATTTTTCCAAAACGAATTTGACCTTTCGTTGCAGTTTAACCCATCTGAAATATCCACGTTTTCCTAGAGGCCTAAATGGATCCATATTGGATTAGTTTGGCATATATTTACAATAGAACAGGTGGCTCATGGGCTTTCCTACAACAATTGTCGGATGGCGGCGTTGGCTACTGTAAAATAATATTAATTAACTGTCGTATTAACTTTAAGCGGAAAAGCCTTGGAAGCAGATACCAAAGCACAAGCCTTGTAAAAAGGTATCTCGAGCTAGAATAAGCTCGAGATATTCGTACGATAACTTTTAAATAAAAGCTTTGAGGTAAAAACGCGGTTTTTTTTCCTAACAAAATTGCATAGGTGTGACTAATATAATGGTAAAACGGGACACCAAAAACCATTACCGATGCAAGAAATTGCCGAGACAACAGAAGTAGAAAAAAAAAAAGACACGCGCATAAAAGGCTATCAATGACTTCATGTAAACAACCCTTCAGTTGTAAAGGAAACATTGTTTCTTCTGGAGAAAAACGAACATCAAAGGGCAGCTATTGCGTCGTTACGAAGGATTCGGGTCCGACGCCCAACTGCTCTGGCATCCGCCCTGTTCTCTCTATAGAAAGTTTTAAGGCCTCGGCAGACGCCGCCGCCGCCGCTACCGCCACCACCGCTATTCTTGCTGCTGGAGATCGTTGGGTGTGATGTTCTCTGCCCGAAGAGTGAGCTATGGCTACTCGTAATCGCCTTCACAATGCCAGTGTAGTTCACAGCGTGAAGGCACGGCAAGGAATGCAGTAATGAAACAGAAGGAACAGAGTATCCGGTATGATGAGGCTAGTGTGGTGTGGCTCGGCAGACCCCCGACATCTCGTAACGGCTGTGACCGCAGTCGAAAAACTACCGACGATGACGACCCAAGGAAACATAATCGCTTCTTCTTCGTCCTTACATTTTGACAAAGGTTTCCTTCATATTGTCCAGTTTGAGGCAATGCAGCAATCAACGTCTGCTCGCTGACTGGAACCGGGTTTCGCTGTGGCAGCTGAGGCGTCAACTGAGTTTTACAATCATTGTTTCATTCCCTTTCGTTGCCTATTTACAGTTCATGCTGGAGGGCATTATACATATTCGTGGAATTGGCATAATGGCAGTGCGTTCAAAAGTCCAAACTTGTAATTTTTATATGATATGCAGTGATATGTTTCTCCTTTTTCAGCGAGTGATTCTGTGCCATGATTAAAGGGTGAATCCTTCTTTAGTTGCTGTTTCTTGACGTGAAATTAATCGCTAAATTTATGCCCGCCTCTATCGAGCTTGAAGAATACACGCACGCCACACATTTCTATTTCTTTTCGCTGTGTTTGCAGGTTTTCCACTCTTGCCTACGGAACTGATATGTTTATCATCTACCCGTCGTTGATTGAAAGACCGATTGAAAGACCAACAACACCTCGAAATGCCAGCATTAGTTATGCTAGAATAGAAATAGAAGAATTCATTAATGGTTTGGTAGGCATTACTTGATCTGGGCAGGAATATTCATTTTGGATGGTTTTCGTCGAGTGTCTAGTAAAAAGTTCCTGTCAAAGGTTCTTTCCCCAAAGGTCATCAAAGGTCATTAGAATAGAATCGCCGATATTTGAAATACACAAGCATGTTATCAAAACCAAACGTAAAATTCAGCTACGTCAAGCGTCAAGTTTGAAGCCGCAAGCGAGCAGGGGCTACATTGGGCCTTTCATAAAAAAAGTATTGTTTTATATTGTTCTAAGGGCTTACAAGCAAGAAAGTCCGTATGACTCTGGTAGTCAAAAAATAGATAAATTAGATGGAGAGAGAGCACATTTGCGCCTAGAAGCCTTCGGCTGCATAGCAATTTCCTGCATCTGAAAATGCAGATGAAACATATAGCCGCATCAGCAGCAGCAACGACTGCAGAGCTTGAAAACCATTCAAGCACAAAATACACCATACCGGTTGAAGGAGTCGTTTTTACAACACGTTTTTTACATTTGTCTTCCGAGTAATTTAGGTACGAACGTGTACCCCGATTAATTACAGAAGCGTGCGTTTACAAGCAAATGTCATCAAACATATATGCGGCTCACGATTTTCCTGGCACTTTTTGTCTGTCGTCAATCTAATGTGACAACCCATTGATTCAAGTGGCTTTTATGAGCAGCCAAAACTTCCATTCGATATTGGAGCGACGCTCATGCTTCAATACAATGTAACGACCCGCAATACGCGTACAATCGAGCGCGCCGCGCTGAAGCAGATTGGCAAATTAGAGACTGAAGACAGTGAAAGCCCTTGGGATCGAATGCTGCTATAGTTTATCCATTAAATATTGACAGGTCGTGGCAGAGCGATTTAGGAAGGTGGAAAAATATCTTCGCCATAAACCCTTTCTCCCGCACCCGCGCGCTCTATGTATAGCTGTCTTCAAAACCAGCGAGACTCCGAGCGTCGAGTTAGAAACTCGATAGCAAAACAGAAGCCGTACAAGCCATGTTGCCAAAGAAGATGTCTTGACACAGAGAGATAACAAGCACTTATTGATAAGCTGTCTCGCCACCTCACCGCTAGTGCCAATGTCTTTACCGGTGACCGCCACATCGATCAGTTTTGTCAATAATGAATACAACAACATAACGTTGCCGCTGACTTTGTTGGGCACAAGCGACATTTCTTGTAAATCGGTATAAGTAAAGAATATTGATTAACAAACGATTCGAAAGAAAATGTCTAGCGTAAAAATGTGCAGATTGCAGCGTCCGTATGGCTCATGCTATTAGATGATAATGGGCACCTGTAAGTTCAAATGTTTAGAGGCTGTGTACGTGACCATCTAACCTGGACGTTTATCAACACGTAATATCAGCAGTCTGGGACGAGCGTTTACGGGGCTATAGTTAATTTTGCGCAGCTAGAGACCTGTTAGCAGATTAGGTTATCTTGAAAACGTTCAATAAGAAAGAGGGTATTTTTATGTGGACGGCGCGAAATTATATGCGCTCGATATATTTCCCTTAAAAATGATGAGAACTGCGGATCGTGGTTTCTGTTTCTCTTTCGAGCTCCTCGTTGGGAACTTTGTCAACAGTCGCAGACAGTATATGGTGCGACAAGCAATTCGTATCCTGTGGCCTTAGTTATGGTAACCGCTCGAGCCAATGCGCTTCCCGTCATTAAATAAACCGCTCGGTGAGCGTCTACTCCATCATTCTTCTGGCAGTTATTTATACAATGTCCACTTCCGAACCCCGTCTTTTCAGCACTCAATTTCCCTTCAGCCTTTTTGTAGCAACAAAGCTAACGAACTTTAGAAAGGCTTTGCGACGTATAGGTTAGCATCGACTTCGTTAGAGGACTGACTAAAAAAATTGTATTTGCCTTAACGCTGTACAGCCTCAGTCTTCATACTTAGATAGAATGATGTAACTTATTTAGTCACAGTAATGTTGTTAATAGTAATGATGATATTATACAAAAGGCAAGTTTTACAACGGGTCTCTTATAAACGAGCTACTAGTAAGTGGCGCTTTTACTCTCCCTATCAATTTCAGGATTCATTGGCTAGATCACTAAATTCAGTCGTATTTAGAAAGGTAAAAAAACACTAACATGTTCAATTGACTTACTTTGACCAATTCACAAAGATTTAGAACTTCGCGCGGAGATCCATTCGTGTGATTTTCTAGACAGATCACCCTATCAGAGCCGTAGCAAAGAAAAGCTTAGAGCGGCCTCTGTCTTGTCAGCATTTTATAGTTAAATGGTACGTAGCTACCAGTTGAAAGCTGAACAATTCCGCATTAACCGCTTATGAGATCTAGCTCACAGATTTTTATAGCAGAATAGATATGAATACATATCATGCCGTACGCTACTGCAGAGCTAAGAACGTGGCAGGAAAGCTCAAATGGGCTAATTTTCATTTAATTTCAACACTCACCGTAGCCAAACTCTTGGCTTCATAGTTTGAAGAAAAGGAAATGTCGCATCGCATAACGATACAGTCTTCAATTGTTATAGAGTGCGTTATTTACCTAAGCCGCTGTTTGCCGTGCGACCTTGAGGATGAAATTTTATTCGCTGAACTCCTTTACTCAAACCAGGAGCTCTGCTACAAGTTTCAACATATCGTTCTCTATTATAACCAAAAAATAACGCAGTTTTCAGCAAAATGTTCCGGGAAAACGTACCTTCCCAACTCGTCAATCATGAAGCGGATATCGGCCATAATCATGCACCAGAGACTCCTAACAACAAGCCTTTTGAGATGGCCGTTTGTGCAGGCACCATATCAACAGCTCCGGCAACGCAAAATATTGAACTACGAGGATGCCGCGACGTGGCCTGTCAGACAGATCTTATAAGCGATTTTACCTTGCCTAACGCGCCGTCCAGTTCGCCGAACAAACTAGAAAATCGTTCTACCCAGACTGAGCCTGCAACCCGAAGTGTTTTTACTCGCTCATCACGTTTTCTTTTAGTATCGAACGAAAATCCATCTGAAAGGCAGTACTCTACGGCGTCAGTGACGCCATCTCATAGGGGAGACTCTACAGCAGTTTTATCAAGGTACGATGACTCACTGACAGATGCTATATAGTTCAACTTCGCTCCTAGCTAAGGTTTAAAATATTTTTTTCATCTATGCAGTAAGAATGACGGTGTTACCTGAGGTTTCAAGGCATTCTAATATTTAGCAAATATAACCAAATTGTTACCGCATTGTAGAGAGATTCTTCACTATAATGAAAATCGTTTACATATAGAAAAGGAATAGTAGTTACAGGTGTGACCTTCTATTAAGAGTAAGACTTGACCGGCGCTTCTTCAATATTGTCACTATTTTGTATGTATTTTCTTAACAAGTTGCTTCGCTGTATGTTTTGTGATCATTTTACTGTAATCGACTTTCTCTATTTGAAAGGAGCATCCTACTACAATTCTTCCCATATCAGCTGCTAGTGTTCGTACGTATCAACTATTTAACCGCGCCTTTACTTTAAATCAATATGATTTTTCAGTGGGCGGGGCAGAGGTCGTTTCCGTGGTCGAGGAAACAATCGCGTCCGGCTACGGCGAGCTGTGAGCCTTCCGAATATTACTACTGCCACTACGTTGAACAATAATAATAATAGCAATAATCAGGATCAGATCAATCTACTGAATCCGGAAGCGGTAGGTAGGAGCGCAAGCCTTTTCACGAGCGGCGGAGCCAGTACGCCCAATGACATTTTGGCACTGCTTGAAGCTCGGCTTGGTGAAACTCCTCTACAGTCATCTTCAACACGATCACTGCAAGATCCCCCAGCTCCTCCACCTGTTAGCCCAACTGAGGCAACGCCAATAACAAGATTACAAGGGGTTTCGGTAACCCCTGGTGCCACTCTCTCTGTACAAATCATGGCTCAAGACGCTGATAGCCTTTCCACTAGTGACAATTTGACAATACTGGCACCAAAGAGTCAACAAGCGGTGCCTGTTAAGCCCGTTCCGGGTTTCAGCCCTAAGCGACAGCAACATCACGACTTCTCCACTTGGACAACTGAAATTGACTCGATGTCTGAACGTCCTCCGCGAGTAGCACCGAACGCCAACACATCAAGTGTTAATAGCAGTTTATCCCCATTGCCCGGCAGAACATCCTGGGGTTCTACGCAAACAACCAGTATGCCCGGCACTTCTCTACTAATGAATTTCGATGGACTTAATATAGTAGGTTCGCCGGAGGCAAGAAACAGACGGCGTGGGGTAAGAGGATTCCTGAGTCGATTGCTCGGTAAAGAGGGCTCTAGCAGGCCAAAGGTACCAGGCGCCACGAGTTCATCGAGGCAAGCTCGTGCCACCAACAGGACCCTGAGGACCTTTAACACCCAACAGGCGACAACCGCTGGCGGTGGCGTTTCGAATAGCGACTCAACTGGATGATTTCATAAGGGCGCAGTAGTATTCCGTTACACAAAAAGTCAAGCGCGTTGGATTTAATGTACAAGGTCCGTGGATATAATGCTGCGATTAATTACAGTCTCATAGGATTTGTATGCTGTACTGTTAATGAATGTGTTTTACTTAATCGAGTTTAGCCTTTCAATGGATCACATAGTATTACTTATATAGCAGGCTATTGTTAACGAAATTAGTCAGCGGCATTTGTGGAACTTCGGCACGCCGCTCAAAAAATACGCTAGCGCCGAACTTATGCGAGGAGGGACAAGCAGTTAAGGATTACTGGTGGTACAGAATAACTCTTAATAAAAACAAATCATTTATAGTTTAGCAGGACGTAAACAAATACAGTTTAGTTTAAATGCGTCGACGTTAATATCGGCGAAATGAAGCTTCTCGTGTGCATTTCAACGCCTTTGTCTACGACTGTTACACGATTAGCTCCATTTTATTCAGCTGGTAAAATTAATTAAAAATGGGATGTTTTTCTGTGAAATTGTTCGGCAGCTCTTTATGCCGTCGAAGGATTTTTTTGGAATCGATTCCAAAAGAAATATGCGTCTGTATTCGAGTAACCGCAGCGAACGAATGGGCGACAAATCTACTTAAAATTTGACTGTGGATTACATGCACACATCTACACGCGTCGTAGGGAAACATGGCTACATTACTCGACAATGCACCCCTTCTTTTCCGTTGAATGAACTTTTGAACGAATGAATTGTCGCTTATGCAAACAGACTTCGCTTCATCCTGCCAGCGGGCTTCTGCCGTAACCCCGTCAGCTATGTCGCCCCGAACAACCTGGTGTATCCCATCTGCTGCCAGTGTATCCAGGTGCACGGGACCAATCCTGCTTCCAACAATAGCAGCTGCAGCGGTGACGACAGGCGGCAGACTTTGAGGGAAAGAGCAAGAAAACAACGGGGGAAAATGTAGAAGCATGTAATAGTGAAAGTGGACAAAAGGAGGAAAGTATGCGATTCAGATAGTTCGTAGCTTGGGGTGCAAATGTGTTAGGCTCGAGCAACGTTTGTAAGTGCTCTAGCTGTACAGTTTGTCCCGCCGTTGATGTTTCTGCTACTTGTATCTCACACTGTCAGACGATTGCTCTTCGCATGGCACTGGCCAACCCATCCCAGCCTTCCGTCGGGCGGGTCATACTGCCAATATTTTCCAACCCGTTCACCACACAGAATCATTCAGTGAATCAACGAACAAAACACAGTCGACTGCTCTGGTTCGACAGCAAAGCTTGTTCGGCTCAACCTAATAATGGCCGGACTCGTCTGACGTAGGGAGATTAAGATAGGATGTTGGGAAGCGATCGGGGCGCATATGGCTTTGCGGTTGAAAAAGGCTGCTGGGCAACATTGTATAGCGATCTTTATATAAAAACACGTGCGCGGACGGATTTCAGGCGCGAGCGCCGCTAAGCTAATCTGTGCGTCCCGATCGCCACGGGGCTTTCGCTTGCTGACGTTTCACCTTGTTCGGGCTTTTTTTCCCGTAACGCTTCTCCCCGGAAAAAAGCAAGCGTATTCAAGAGAATGTTTCTGAGTCGCTGGGCGGCCGGCCTCTCTTCATCGTCCTGTCGGGGTCGATCGCTACGTCCAACATTGCCGAGTCCCAGAACGTAGGCACACGCACGCACACTTACGTAGGGTATAGACTGGTTCAGCGTACCCTAACACGCCACTCAGCCCCAAGCAAACTCGCTTGACTGACCAATATTCGGGATCTCTAGTGCGGAGAAGTCGCAATGTTGGCCTATGCACATAATGCATTCTATAGTTGTTTATAACGGCGCTGTATACCACCGTCACCACGCGATGTCTGTATACATGCCTAAGTAGCGTAGCTGGTGAAGGATAGCGAGGGAATGTCTGTAGAGTCTCTGGAATGTAGCGTGCAGCAACAATAGGCAAAAGTCAGACTGTGACGCCAGTCTGGACCTACGCCCAGTGTCGCTAAGCTGGCACTGCTGTTATCAGAATAGACCAAGTTGAGTATGCCAGGCAGAAAGGTATAAGAAAGGATATCACACACTATATAAACCATAGTCAGCCATACAAATCTGGCAGTTGAACTTTATTGAACATTATTAAGGCGGCCCATGTCTCTAAAAGAAAAGAGGTTTGAAGCTTCCGGGTTTAATAGAAATAAATTGGCTGTACTATTTTTACTAGATAGTAGAGTAAATATTATTGTCTCCATGTGGTGCGTAAGTTACGAGACATCGCAGCTAACTGCAAATTAATTAAGCTTAGCTAGGACCCTTTACGAAGTGCTAATTTTTCGCACCTATCTTTGTGATTAGATGGCCAACATTAGCATGCGTTCTTAGTTTGAAGCTCGATTTTTACGAATCTAGTATTAAACTGCTGTGATTCGTTGGCGAAAAATGATGAAAAGTCATTATTGTATCCGTCCATTGAAACACCATTACGGGAAACCAGCGAGCACTTGGCGTCACTTTCTTTGGGGTAAATCTGAGCTTTGCCATAGATCTTGGAGCACAGTTTTTTTCATTTGCACATTATTGTCGTATATGACCTGCTTTTTATCGGCTCTCATAGGCCGCTTTAGAAGTGATTCCGCTTTCCTGTGTTTCTGCTGAGTTCTGCAGATTAAATACGATGGAGTAGATCGCGTCAATTCAGGTGGCGCTTTAACGATTTCTTTTTGGCTTTTTGTAGCCAGCTGCCTTTAAACGCTTCTTTAAGCTGTTTGGTAGTAGATGTTTGGTTCGATATCTTGGCTACTAACGTGTCGGTCCTGCTTAGTTTTCCTAAAGTCCCGCAGTTGAGCGGATAGCATCTTTAATATCGAAATTTCTAGAATAAAAACAACAGATCGATTTTCGGGTTGTTTTTTTTTCTTTTGAATAAAGGCATTGCAGTAATTTTAGCACATCTACTACTGTCAACCTTCAAACGACAGTGATGACTACCGTGATACGGCACCCTAGATGTAAGAATGTCTGCGCCCATATCTCAGTGAAAATCTTCGAGCGCACTCCAATTCGATGGTCGACAAGTTTCGGTACGATGCGTCTGCGTTTGAATCTGCAACAAAGCCTATCCTGAATTAGGACAGAAATTGCGTGATTTCGCTGCGTGTTATATTTCCATCATTGGAGGGCCTGTTTCGAAATGAATACGCTTCAAATTAATGCGGCTAAGCCGACATTCTTGTCGATGATGAGTAGAAAATCATCTGTGAAGCAACCCAGCAAACCGCGCAGGACTTTTTGTGGACTCGTCGGCCTACCGTCCATATTCTTGATATAGAAGAAGTACTATGATAATCGGTAGAACTGACGTTCGTGTCATAGCGCAGGGAGAGCAATTAAACTTTTTTGCATTGCCTTATATCGTGTTAGACAGGGTAAAGCAGAACTGTGCCTCTTTTTTTGACCAAAGACGCAATATCGTATTAAAAAGTAGACGAAAAGGATAAATTTAAAAACTGCCAATGTATTAGATGGATGTACTATAAAAAAAATTAATTACAAAAACTATAAGGCAAATTATTGTTAATGTTGAAATACGTTTGATAACTTGATAAGTTATCCGAAGCACTCCAAAAGTTGGCTAAAAAGGAAGTAAACATTGGCAAGAATGGAGTTTTCTGTTCAAGGATGGTTAAATATATATATATTTTCGTTCAATTTTAGCTTTATGTACTCTTTGTATATTGTTGGACATTTGCCTCGGAGAATCTTTAAGCGAATTTGAAGAAGGGTCTAAGGCCATTTAACTATATGCTGCCTGTATAAGTACTGGAAGAGCAAAATTTCTTTAGTTCAGCTTATCAATTCGTATCAAATTGAGCTCCACCAGTTGTTCTAGTGCAAAGAAAACTAATGTATTTAATCCTTATCTAAAAAAACATCGAGTTACTCCACTGAAGTGGTCTTACGGCCCTTTATGCTAGAGACGCTCTAATTCAGTGGTACCTTATATAAATCATACTCAACACATGATTCTTTTATTAGCACCGATACTCTGACCCAAGTTAACTTCAAATTACTAACTACGGAAGCCAAATCGGAAGAAGATGTTTTTAAAGCTTCGAAAAATTAACACGTTTCATCGTTCTGTGCATTGTCTTGGCAGATTTGAATGATACTCAAAGAAAATCACCGTTGTCTTTTCGCATCGTTGACTGCGTTCCGTATGAAACCATTATACATCAAATTGATCCAATGACTGTTTTGGCGCCATTTTTTTAGACAGAGGCGCCAAAAATAAAATTTAAATTATAAAAAACGTAAGGCGTACCGCAAGAACAAAGTCTAAGTTAAAATTCATTCGTTGTACCCGTTTCAACTAGGATTAAAAAGCGAACATCCAAAACTTCCATACACTTTTGGCTAAAAGCATCCAGCTTTGCAAGTACTATAATCCACTAGAAAACTGACAAAATCGTCATCTTTGGATATCTTGGCAATATTCATAATTTGATTATTACCTAACATACAGTTGGTTTGTCTTTGATATTTATCGTAGCAATAGATTGTTATGTCGCCTTGGGTATTTATAATGAACAAAATTGTTGCAAACATGTTACATAGCGTGTACAGCTTAAAAATCAAGATGCAAACCTAAGAGTTCATTATTGAAACAGGCAACTGATTTACTAGAAAAAGCTCCTAAGAGATTCACTACTCCTCCATATCTGAGGAGTGTTCAAAGAAAAACAACGAAAGAAGTTCTCTTGGTTCCTCATATTTTTTTCTGCTAGAAGAAACCTTTGACCAATGAATGACTTAAATTAAGTGTTCTATTTACTTCAAGCGAAGTTATCTATTGCAACTGCCGATAGTAAACAAAATACTAAGTTAATATACAGTTGAGTCGGATCTTCTTCAGTTTGTCAACACGATCACGCACGTCCTAATCGAAGCCTGTGTGGGCCATTCCCAGATACTCATAGACGCTGGCGGCAGAGACGATCATACTCTTTTCGCGCGCGGCTGCATAGATCGTTGTAAGGGATATAAACATTACAAGCAATGTATGTAATATCCTTGAGGAATCCGCATAATAGAGTCATACTTACGAAGTCCAATACAAAGTTTACAGCCGCAACAGCTGTAATGAGCATAGCGTGGTAAGGAAAGACAGAGGAATGTACGTTTGGCTGCGAGTGAGTCTCTCTGTCTGTCATGTGTAAGCATTTGCCAAAGTCTGAGGCCTTAAACAATTCTGGACCTCGACTTCACTAAGGAAACCTGGAATGCGAAGTGACGCTGCCGGTAGCGCCAGTGGCAGCTTACTCCG